TTAACCCCCTGAGTACGATGAGTTAACCCCATGAGTACGATGAGTTAACCCCCTGAGTACGATGAGTTAACCCCCTGAGTACGATGAGTTAACCCCTGAGTACGATGCCAAACCCCTAGCTTTATTTTAACTGAACTTCTTGAGTCAGGTTTGATTAGACTGGGTTAGGTTAGGTTAGGTTAGGTTTGGTTTGGTTTGGTTTGGTTTGGTTTGGTTTGGTTTGGTTTGGTTTGGTTTGGTTTGGTTTGGTTAGGTTAGGTTAGGTTAGGTTAGGTTAGGTTAGGTTAGCCTCAGAATGCTTATCATTCAGGAAGATATTTAACTTTTTTTTATTTTAATAACATGTGAGATAATTACACCTGTCGTAATAACTCCTACTCAATTCACTTACCTTACCTGACTTAGGTGGCGTGTTGGATTGTGTCATTCATAACCTTTTAGGAACACGTGAAGATTAGGCACCCTAGCTTATTTCACAGTATGATTACGCACCATAACGCTAAGCTAACCTAACCTAACCCCCACTCCAGGTAGCGTTAGGGTGTTTAATTATCAGGTGAAATATGCTGTAGCAGTTTATCTTCACATGTTCCGCCATTTGCCACACCGGTAAACAAAACGCTGAACGAATGATAACGAAAGTAAATTAGAAACCTTTCATATGGATACTTCTTCTGACTTTCATATTCATTTTGGAAGAAGAAAAAAAATAGTCGAAAAAGTGCGAAGACCTCCAAGAGATGTTATTGAGAGCCATGTAATTATCTTTTGATGATGTAAATTAAATGTTGTTTGTTTAGATACGAAAAATCACAGCAGTTGATGACAGTGAAATAATAATGGAGTCGAAAATGAAACGAGGTTATCATAGAGGCTTACTGATGATAATACTAATAATAATTGGTAGTTTTTTATATAACATATGATTAAAACGATGGAAATACTAGAGCTCTGTTCGGAAAGGTTTGATTAATACCCCCCCAAAGTACCAAAAACGACATAAATACCTGAGGAAATATATTGGATAACGGTATTCTGTATAATTATAAATGTATCGGATATGAATTCAATAATGGAAACGTACATGAGAGAGCTGAAAGTTAACATTACGCTGTTTCTGGAACCTGTATGTGTTAATGTTTGGAAAGATGATTTATAATGTGTTGACTTAAAAACCCTTGAGCTTAAACTAGTACACAGACTCTAGGTATAGTGGGGAGTAACATCCCCTGACACACCTGATTTTTGTACTTAGAGACAAATTATCGATGAGTGAGTTGATTAGAAACGAAGAGCAATTACGTCAAGCTATAAGCGACCTCTTGGCACACACAAACACACAGGTAGTACCGTGTTGGCTTCGATCCCCTGATATAACCCCTTTAAGATAACTTTATGTTAAGGAAACTTGCCAGGCAGTCTTGTGTAATTTAAGTCAAGAAGAAATTGCAGTGGAGCATTTTGAGTGACATGAAATGTATTTATACCGCAACAAGAATGAACGTGGCAGCTTCATATAAACCTAGAGGCGCCGGGAGGAGGAGGAGGAGGAATTTGAAACTATTTTAGAGTGAGACAGACAGGAGAGCAAGGGAGCAGGTGTAAAAGCAAATGGGGATTCTCGGATGATTTGTGTGGAGGAAGAGGCTAGATCCTGGCGGTCATCTTCAAGACATATAGAAGAGATCCTGAGTGTCATGAGCGGTGTGTACGAGAAGGTGAAGGGGATGAGGTCGAGGGTTTTCTCATCAATAAATAGATTCCCTCGTGAAAATACATTACAGGGAAGCAATCATGAGGGGTTTGGGTTAGAGGAAGAGGAGAAGTGAACAACAACTATTTAAATCGCCGAGAGTCACTTGTTCCCTGTGGTATCCAATTACTCAGTGGGATCTAAGGCCAAGGACCTCATAAACCAGAGTGTAAATAAAACCCCTTGGTGGAAAATGAGCTATTTGGGCTCTCTTTAACCCCAAGTTACTGAAGGCAAATTAACCTTTGACAAGAAATTAAATGAAGGGTAATAAACGCTCCACGCCCTTCACTTAAAATCAACACGGCTGAAAATCTTAAATGTAGACGACGTATTGTATGTGCCTTCTATGACTGGTAATATGGATACGTACATATACATAGAAAGATGTGTACAGTAGGGATGAAGTCATTGAGAAACACCAAGTGGGGGATTATGCACATGGTGAGACATCTTATTTTATTATTATAGGGACACACGAGACGAGGATAAGAGGATTAGACTCGTTCACTGGGGAAGAACTGCCCAAATACTGAGGAACATTCTCTGGCTGTGTGCCGGACCTGAATTCCTTGCAGGCAAACACTCGGGATATTAGTCTGGCGAAAAGGGACTTGCGGAGGAAGCTGTCACTGAATAGTAAAAAGATTCTGGGTGAATGGGTAGGTGGATAGATATATAGATGAATAGATATATGTATAAATATATAGCTGTATAAATAGATATTCAATAAAAATCATCATACAGATTTACATTAGTTCACCATGTTCAATACATAGATGCTACAAGAGTATATACTACAATGGATGAGTTGACGGGTCTGGGTAAACACAAGAAATACACTCTGCCACGTTCATACAGTGATACGGTATATATAAAATGTAATAAAATTTTAAAGTCCTGCTATAATAGTCTGGATAAGTTTATTTCTCTACAAACATGGCCGCCATTTGAAATGACGTCACTACCTTCAAACTCAATGCTGCAGACGTAGGTAGTAGTGTAGCCAAATAGATTGGACTGACCTTACGGGTAACTCAGTATCAGAGGATTTCCTCGAAACGATACAGGACTGTTTTCTAAGTCAACATATAACCGAACCCACCCCGGGTAATAATATACTCGATTTAGTTCTGTCAAACAGAGAAAACCTCATTAGCAATGTCGAGGTAGGGAACGAACTTGCAAACAGCGATCACAAAGAAATTAGATTCCAGTTAGATTTTCAGGTCAGACGTAAGGAAAATTCCATTAAAGTCCCAGATTTCAGAAGGGCAAACTTTGATAGTTTAAAGAGGCAGCTGAGAGAGGGGGTGTCGCGCTTGGGCGTGAACCTGACGGATGACACCGACCTGATAACGAGATCTGAGATTGCCGAGTTTCACGACAGTTTAAATAACGAGTTACTTAAGGCACAAAGGCAGAACATACCATACAAAAAACTCAGATCAGACAACAATGACCCTAAATGGATAAATAATTATTTAAAGAACATTATTGGCCAAATGAAGGCTATAGGTAGAAGGATAAATCGTGGCGAAATTTACCTCCGGGAGTATTATAAGGTATTGGCCGGTAGGGTTAAGACCGAGATAAGAAAAGCGAAGAGGAATTATGAACTGAAGGTGGCAGGGGAGGCGAAAACAAACCCCAAAGGATTCTACCAAATGTATCAAACTAAAACACGAGACAAGATTGGACCAATACGTTCAGATACCGGCGAGCTAACTGATAACGACGGAGAAATGAGCAATAATCTGAATAAATATTTTTCAACAGTTTTCACCACCGAAAATTTAAACATGATACCCGAGGCACCGACTCTATTCAGAGATAGTGAAGAAAACAAATTAAGCGAGATAGTAGTGACTAGTAACGATGTTAATAAGCAAATAGACAAACTGAAGCCTAATAAGTCACCTGGTCCCGATGAGATATTTGCCAGAGTATTAAAGGAATGTAAGGATGAGCTTAGTATGCCCTTAGCAAAGTTGTTTAACATGTCATTAAAAACAGGTGTCGTGCCAGAATCCTGGAGGATAGCGAATGTAATACCGATTTTCAAGAAGGGGGATAGATCACTATCCTCTAACTACCGCCCAATCAGTCTAACATCAATAGTAGGTAAATTACTAGAATCAATTATTTCAAACTCTATTCGAAACCACCTGGAGAAGCACAAGTTGATCAATGATTCCCAACATGGCTTCACAAGCGGGCGTTCATGTCTAACTAATCTATTAACATTCTTTTCATCAGTTTTCGAATCGGTGGACGAGGGGCACAATTATGATGTGGTATATCTCGACTTTAGCAAAGCCTTCGACAGAGTCCCCCACGAAAGACTAATTAGAAAGGTAGAAGCTCATGGCATCAAAGGTGACATCCTTAAATGGATTAGGGCGTGGTTATGGGACAGGAAACAGCGAGTGAGCATAAACGGCACTAAATCTCATTGGAGCACCGTCACTAGTGGAGTTCCCCAAGGCTCAGTACTTGGACCATTATTATTTATTATATACATATGCCTTCTTCTGTTTCCATACTTATACAATCTGTCTCACTTTAAAAAGCTGGTTTTCCGGCATCTTCATGGCGTAGATTAACTCAGTATAAGCTTTTTCTTCTCTATTTTTAATTTCTTCCTGTTCCCAATTTTTCGCCCCCTAGGCCCCATTGTTGGTCGTTCGACCTGTGCCCGGGTTGGCTAATTCCCGTAAAAAAATGGGGCCCCATATCTTGGAGGTGCCTAAGGCCTACGAAAGTCTTAACCCGGCACTGACACCACTGCCTCGGAGTTCTATTAATGTAGTATAAAATAAATGCTTACTTGAAATTGTTATTCTTTCCCATATTGTATTTGAGATGAATTCCCCGTAAAATCAACCAATTAATCAAAATCGAGGCTACAGGCGTCTACTCGATATACCTATTGTCTAAATTTATGACAAATTATTTTTTCTTAATATTTATGAAAGTGAATAATAATATTCAGCTATATTAATAATAATTGCACACCAAAATAATATACTGATATCTCAATAAAAGAATTTGAAAGGAGGAAGACAAATGGAAGAGTACAAACCTACTTTAAAAAAATAATTTATCCTTTTTCACCAACTAATTACCAATATATATTTATAATTTAATTGTATGTAATATTAAACAATAATATATAAAAAACTTAAGAGGAGAATTTTATACAACTGAAAATTATTGTATGAAAGATAAACATTGAGCTGGTCGGTTAGTGCACCAGAACAACAACAACCATAGACTACACTAACTACCTAATATCTATCTTTAAATGGAACTATGGAAGCAAGATTTAGAAGATACGATGAAGTTATTCTAGAGAAATTAAGAATAATTCACATAGATGACGAGAAAGTAGTGGGAGTGTTGAACAGTGTGGCAGAGCTGAAGGACCTAAGAGATCATCTTTTTCAATATAATTTCTGGTTCTCAACTCGTAATGTTGAGAAACACTGTAAGGAGAATGTGTTTTTAATTAATTCTATTGTCTGTAGGTTAATTGTTATTGTGGTTTTTTAGAAATTATATGTCAAGATCCATAAAATTGAGACAGAAAATTTTTGGCATTGTGAAAATCTTGAAATTCTTCCTATTACCCTAAACACTATTGTAGTTTAACCAGGATCTTGTATTAAAAAAAATGATATCTGACTCATTTTTATTTTCAGAGGTAGAAATATAACTTTAGTAAGTAATTTAGTTGAGGTGTTGTATCAGATGACATTAATTAATTGAAATCTTTTGATGGAATGTTTAATGATGTTTAAGTTTTAATGAACAAAATAAAAATCCCACGGGGGACCGACGAACAACAGATTTCTTTCAGTTTTTCCATAGATGTTCTTATCATTATAGTAAGTATTTTAAAATAGGTGACATTTACTAGAACCTAATAGAATCTGACCTAACCAACCAAAGAAACCTACCTAACTTCCTGGGGGTGGGGGGGTGCAGCCATATTCAACAAAAACAACTTATTTAAATATTTGGTACCAATAAAAGCAGCTTTGTTGAAGTGTCATGGTGTAATTTTACGTTTTTTGTGGACCCCATGAAAGACTAATAAGAAAAGTGGAGGCTCATGGCATTAAAGGCGATATTCTAAAATGGATTAGGGCGTGGTTACAGGACAGAAAACAGCGCGTGAGCATTAATGGCACTAAATCCCATTGGAGCAACGTCACTAGTGGAGTTCCGCAAGGCTCAGTACTTGGACCATTATTATTTATTATATACATAAACGACATAGATATAGGCGTAGACAGCAACATAAGTAAATTTGCTGATGACACTAAAATAGGCCGTGTAATTAAATCTGACGAGGACTCCGCAAAACTACAGGAAGATCTAAACAAATTTTTCGAATGGTTTGAAAAATGGCATGAAATTCAATGTGGACAAATGTAAAGTACTCAGTATAGGAGACGTAAACAGGGAAACCAGATACCAGATGAACAACGATGTTATTGAGAAATCCGACTGTGAGAGAGATTTAGGAGTAATGATAAGTAGGAATCTTAAGCCAAGTAAACAATGTGTATTTGCTCAAAACAAAGCTAATAAAGTACTTGGGTTCATACAAAGGAGTGTTAGTTACAAGACTAGCGAGGTCATCTTAAGATTATATCTTGCGCTTGTGAAACCTCACCTGGATTACGCAGTTCAGTTCTGGTCACCGTATTACAGAATGGATATAAAATCCTTGGAAAGAATCCAGTGGAGAATGACAAGACTAATTCCGGGCATCAGGAACCTTGAGTACAGAGACAGGTTAAAGCATCTTAAATTGCACTCCCTCGAGAGACGTAGAGTGAGGGGCGACATGATCGAGATGTATAAATGGAAGTCAGGGCTGAACAAAGGGGACATTACAAAGGTACTCAAACTATCCAACCAGGAGCGAACTCGTAACAATGGTTTTAAATTAGACAAATTTAGATTTAGGCGTGAAATAGGTAAACATTGGTTTGGAAATAGAGTAGTGGACGACTGGAACAAGTTACCAAATATCATCATTAACTTGAATATGCTGGATAGCTTCAAGCATAGGGGTTGGGTGTAAATGGGACTGCCCAGTTTGGGCCAATAGGTCCGCTGCAGTTTCCTCCATTCTTATGTTCTTACGAGAGTATGCTTGGACCGAGTGAGTCAGTGTAAAGAAATAGACGACATGAAGTGACTCGGCAGATTTTTCGAAATTGTATTTTTGGTAAATAATTAATTTCTTCATGTATGCAAAGAAATTAAATATTTACCATAAAATTTACCCCCAAAAATCTGCCGTTGTCGGTGCGTATTGTTGTCTGCTGTATTTGTTTACAACTGACCTGTTCAGTCCGAGCGTATAATACTCTCGTCCACAAAAAACGTAAACTTACACTATGATGCTTCAACAAAGTTGCTTTCATTTGTACCAAATATCAAAGCAAATACTTTCTGTTTAATATGGCTAGGAAGTTATGTAAGGTTAGGTAGGTTTTTTGGGTTGCTTCGGTCAGGTTTTATTAGCTTCTGTACATTTTGTTATTATTTTTATTACTTACTTTCATCATCCAAAGAACACTTGTGGAAAAAATTTACGAAATCAAACAACAGTTTTTGGTGTTAGCCATCTGCTCTAGGATTACCATTTCATCCTCAGAAATATTCTTATTTGCATATGCTTACACTCATTTTTCCTTGCTTCTCCCAAAGAATTTATATTTTAGGCATGTAAACAAAATAGTGTCAAAGATACGGTGGAAAAATTATAAGAAACAAGAGACTGCAGAGCTGAAATGATTTTTTATTGGAGAGGGTCATTACTTTATTCCTTCAGCAGAATTGTTGATAAAACTATAGGATCAGGGCACCACTCCTTACAGTCTTTTTAACAGGATCTTTAGAAATATGTTTATTTAATGCATAGAATGTAAATCAGTGGGGGAGCAAGGAAAAAGGGAGAGAGAACTTTCGAAAATAAATATAATATATCCACTGGAATGGTACCAGTTCGTTTGTGTACTGTTGTCTTAAAAGACTGTAGCTAAGTTAATAGGTGAGATCATTTACTTGAAAAAGACAATACAGTATTAACCTTTGCTGGACTGACTAACAGGTAAATATTTGTGCATTAAAACTTAAATATCATTGAACATCCCATCAAAAGATTTCAGTTATTTAATGTCATCCTGATTCTACATCTAAACTGAATTGCTTGTTAAAGTTATATTTCTACCTCTGAACAAAGAAAATTGTCAGAGTTATATATCTTGGGTAAAGGTGTAGAAAAGGGTGTCACCTTATTACTTGGGATTTTTTAAGGGATCAATATTGATATAATGTAGTCATTTAATATATAAAATGAAAATTAAAAGGAAAAGGTCTTCTGAAGATCAGGCTTTAGATTTCCAAAAGCAAGGGTTGCTCAGTGTTTTTATTATCTGGCTAGAAACTGTAAGGCTAATCACTTCTGACAGAGATACAACCAACGATGATAAATAGAAAGTATCCTTTATCAATAGGTTTTTAGAAAAGTTTAGTTTGATTGATTCATTTTATTGGCTGTTAGATTTGTTTTATCCCAAGAGTCTCCTACATGATAGCAAACAAATGAAACATAGTCCGTTCTACAGAACTTGGATCCACATTTTTATAAGTTCACACTCATTTTATCCTTGATCCTTCACTGTTATTACATTCTATGCATTAGATTGAATGTATCAGTACAGATCTTATGAAAAAATAAAGGTGGTGCCTTTATTTTATAGCTACATCATTAAGGAGTAACACATTAGTACAGTACAGATTTTTTCTTAGATGATTATGTAACTTGTATTGTATGTTGACAGATGATAAAAAAGACAGCATCCATTGGGTTCTTCCCAAGCTTCAGGGTGCACCTCCTCAGGGTGTGTGCCTCAATGACTATGCACCCTTTGTTATAAACAAAGTGGTTAATAAAGACTGTCGTCGAGGAAGAGCTTATTGGAAGGTACGTCTAGTTTCAAGTTTCATCAACTTCATTATTTTGTGAAGACACTGATGTGAGGGTAGAACTTCCTCTCACAAGTCATGGAGTTGGGGTTCATCATAGTACCAGTTTATGAGTTGAAAGTTGTGACTCATATCACTGCTTAAACTCTATTAGACCTCAAGTTACTGTCTTCATCTGCATATGCTGAAAAGTATTCATATTGTTCTCACGGATCCGTACTAACTAACCATTTACACAAAAGATTTATGCTTTCACTTATTGGAATATGATGTAAATGAATGTATGTGTTTCTTAATTCTTGTTTTTTTATGTTATTTATATCAGATAGTAGGGCTTTTTGTTCAGGATGATTTAATCTTTTTGGAAAACTGTCAGCTTTTCTTTTCTACAGGATATCCTTCAGAAGTATAACCATAGTTTAATATTTAAATGTTCCCTATTGAAAACATTTGTTATATAGTTTGTCTCTGTATGTAGGAAAAAAATACATAAAATTCTCAAAATTACAGAGAAAAAATGAAAACAAGATAAAAGAGGAAATAGTCGACAATCCTGACCCAATGGAACCACCGAAGAAGAAGAGGAAACCCTACCGCACCATTAAGAGTGACTGCCCTGCAAAGATGAGCATTAGAACTATCAAGGTAGGATATACAGTACCTGGGAGTTTATACTTAATCCAGGTTGTTAAATATAAATTTGGCATACAGTATCTTTAATTATTTCGCAGGTCATTAATTACCACTAATTACTCTAATTTTTTAATTGTGAAACCAGATCCTTAATCAACATGTTAAGTAGCACCTTTGTATTAAATTTGAACAAAATCCATGGTATGACTCCAAGTACCGAAATGTAAGGTATTTGGTCAGTTGTATTTTTTATGTCAAATTACTTTTTCAGAAAGTGAAAACTAGCATATTTATTTAGTGAAGATAGTCTTCATTTTAAGAAAATATATATATAAAGATTTTAAACTTACAGTCACAGTATAATTGACTTTTTAATTATTATAAATATTGTATTAAAAACCTGTGACTTTATGGTGCTATTTTCTATATGTTTTCATTGAAACCCTAATGGTATCGTGCTTACTGTGGAGGATATGATGGAGTGTGAGTGGAGTATCTCGTCTACTTGTTTCTTTTCCCCTTTGCTCTTATAGTACCTTCTACATTTGTCTTGCACCACACTCCTTTAATACCAGTACAGGTATCCCTGATTTACACTTTCCTGATTTGAGGCGCTCAGCATTAGAAGGGGGCGAAGCGTCAAATTTAAAAAGTGAAGAAAAACGCGTTTAAAGTTTTTCAAAAATCAAATGGCTATAACTTTTTTTGTTTTTAAGCTAGAGTGTTCTTTTTTTTTATTGTGCAGCTCAATCCATCTGCTAGTGAAATGTGAAAACTGGAAGTTAGTACAGTATTGTGAATAGTTATTATTTTATCACGAGTCGAATGAGAATAACTACCCATCATGTACAGTTGTTTGATCTTCAAACCAACAATAATCGCATTTTTCTGCAAAATTTTCTTAGCTAATACTGTAAAACAAGTTAATGATCACCAAAAACAGCACTCGTCTCATCTTAGCTAGTACTGTAAAACAAGTTAATGATCACCAAAAACAGCACTCGTCTCATCTTAGCTAGTACAGTGACCCCTCGTTTAACGAACGCCTCGGTTAACGAAATTTCGGTTAACGAACTGCCTTCCATAAGGATCTTCAATTCGGTTAACGAACAAAAATTCGGTTAACGAATTTCTTACGAACCGACCTCAACATGTTTTCGCTTGCACTGGCCGGGCAACCAGCTTTAGTATCAGTCCGCCAATACATTAATCGGTTCTAGGGCTTAAATTCCTAACTATTTTAGTAAATATCAAGAAGTTTATACTATTCAATAATTTTAAAAGTTTAATATTCAATTTTTTAGTCATTTTAACAATTATTGAACATAATTGAAGGTAAAGTGACTAGTTTAAAGCGCAGCATCCAGCCTCTTAACACAGCAAACAGGCGTTAGTCTCTCTGTTTTCACTGGAGGTAACATCTTGCTTGAGACTCTCTTCAACTAAACGCTTTTTTCTGTGTTTCCAAGCAAATTATTGGTCATTTTGAAATATATTTTACATATTGACAATATATAATGCAGTACAGTGTTGATTTAAAGAAAATAATCTTGAAATACACCAAGAGAACTAAAATTTTATGGGTGAAATGGTGCCATGGGGTGACTTCTCTTCCACCCCAATGCCTTCTCTTCTTCCTTCTCCTCCACCCCCATTGTAATTCCCATCATCATCATCATCATCCAGGAGCCTTCTACATACACACCTCAAAGTAAGTGAACTTTTCTACCATTTTTGTTGAATTTAGGAAATTTTCGGTGAGCTGGAACCAATTACCCAAAAACCCATTGAAACAATGGTTTCGGTTAACGAACTTTTCGGTTAACGAACGACCTTCTGGAACGGATTGAGTTCGTTAACTGAGGGTACTGTACTGCAAACAAGTTAATGATCACCAAAAACAGCACTCGTCTCATCTTAGCTAATACTGTAAAACAAGTTAATGATCACCAAAAACAGCACTCGTCTCATCTTAGCTAGTACTGTAAAACAAGTTAATGATCACCAAAAACAGCACTCGTCTCATCTTAGCTAGTACTGTAAAACAAGTTAATGATCACCAAAAACAGCACTCGTCTCATCTTAGCTAATACTGTAAAACAAGTTAATGATCACCAAAAACAGCACTCGTCTCATCTTAGCTAGTACTGTAAAACAAGTTAATGATCACCAAAACAGCAATCGTAGCATCTTAGCTCATCTTAGCTAATACTAAAACAAGTTAATGATCACAAAAACAGCACTGTTTCATCTTAGTTAGTACTGTAAAAAAGCACGATCACCAAAACAGCACTCGTCTCATCTTAGCTAATACTGTAAAACAAGTTAATGATCACCAAAAACAGCACTCGTCTCATCTTAGCTAATACTGTAAAACAAGTTAATGATCACCAAAAACAGCACTCGTCTCATCTTAGCTAGTACTGTAAAACAAGTTAATGATCACCAAAAACAGCACTCGTCTCATCTTAGCTAGTACTGTAAAACAAGTTAATGATCACCAAAAACAGCACTCGTCTCATCTTAGCTAATACTGTAAAACAAGTTAATGATCACCAAAAACAGCACTCGTCTCATCTTAGCTAATACTGTAAAACAAGTTAATGATCACCAAAAACAGCACTCGTCTCATCTTAGCTAGTACTGTAAAACAAGTTAATGATCACCAAAAACAGCACTCGTCTCATCTTAGCTAATACTGTAAAACAAGTTAATGATCACCAAGAAACAGCACTTTCGTCTCATCTTAGCTAGTACTGTAAAACAAGTTAATGATCACCAAAACAACTTTCAAATCTCATCTTAGCTATACTGTAAAACAAGTTAATGATCACCAAAAACAGCACTCGTCTCATCTTAGCTAGTACTGTAAAACAAGTTAATGATCACCAAAAACAGCACTCGTCTCATCTTAGCTAATACTGTAAAACAAGTTAATGATCACCAAAAACAGCACTCGTCTCATCTTAGCTAATACTGTAAAACAAGTTAATGATCACCAAAAACAGCACTCGTCTCATCTTAGCTAGTACTGTAAAACAAGTTAATGATCACCAAAAACAGCACTCGTCTCATCTTAGCTAATACTGTAAAACAAGTTAATGATCACCAAAAACAGCACTCGTCTCATCTTAGCTAATACTGTAAAACAAGTTAATGATCACCAAAAACAGCACTCGTCTCATCTTAGCTAATACTGTAAAACAAGTTAATGATCACCAAAAACAGCACTCGTCTCATCTTAGCTAGTACTGTAAAACAAGTTAATGATCACCAAAAACAGCACTCGTCTCATCTTAGCTAATACTGTAAAACAAGTTAATGATCACCAAAAAGCACTCGTCTCATCTTAGCTAATACTGTAAAACAAGTTAATGATCACCAAAAACAGCACTCGTCTCATCTTAGCTAGTACTGTAAAACAAGTTAATGATCACCAAAAACAGCACTCGTCTCATCTTAGCTAATACTGTAAAACAAGTTAATGATCACCAAAAACAGCACTCGTCTCATCTTAGCTAATACTGTAAAACAAGTTAATGATCACCAAAAACAGCACTCGTCTCATCTTAGCTAGTACTGTAAAACAAGTTAATGATCACCAAAAACAGCACTCGTCTCATCTTAGCTAATACTGTAAAACAAGTTAATGATCACCAAAAACAGCACTCGTCTCATCTTAGCTAATACTGTAAAACAAGTTAATGATCACCAAAAACAGCACTCGTCTCATCTTAGCTAGTACTGTAAAACAAGTTAATGATCACCAAAAACAGCACTCGTCTCATCTTAGCTAGTACTGTAAAACAAGTTAATGATCACCAAAAACAGCACTCGTCTCATCTTAGCTAGTACTGTAAAACAAGTTAATGATCACCAAAAACAGCACTCGTCTCATACCCATTCCCCCATAAACCTCCCAAACCCACCCCCAAAAATATATAATACTCTGTAATAAAAAACTCATTTGCCTATCAGTATTTATCTTTCCGTCCTTATTATTAGCCAAAGATTTATAATATTGTTAAGTATAATAATGTGTAATAATAAGGAAACACCACTACACTCATCCCTCCCGCCATTAACCCCCCTCAACGTAATTAACATAGAAATGCGGAGAAAGTTTGCATAATCTTTGGTAAAACCAGAACAGTATTATGATAATAGTTTTACAATCTTACTTTGTTTAGTTCCTTCGTTTTATTATTCCTGAAGATTGTAGTAACTTGAAGTTATATAAATCCTGAGGAGTGCATATAACTTTAATGGCCTTAATCAACAAAGCTAAAATTACGAGATGCGAAATGCTCTGTATACTAGCAATCAGCTGTTGTGAGAGGGTGGTCACGCTGGCGCCGCACACCACCCGCCTCTCGTCCGACTCACCAAACACTTTCACTTTCCCCTCAACTAATTTTTTAATTACTTTATGTGATCTAAAATAGATTTTCACTCAATTTTAGTTAGGCAATTCATCCTCTGAAGATGCAGAGCCCAACTCGACCAGTGCATCATCCACATCACTGTCCAAATTGGCACCCCATACGTGAAGCACCATTTCCTCACTGCGGTGCTTCCAGCACCTTGATTTCCTGCTCCAATGTAATTGCTTGCCTTGATTTCATGGTCTTTGGGGGTAGTTAATGATGTAGTGGCTGGCCTCTTGGACATCGTGGCGATGGTTGATGCACGTGGTAGAAAGAGATAGTGTCACACAATATGTCCGTTCACTAGAGCGCCACTGCTAGAACTGAAGATGCGTGAGGGTGTGGGAGGGTGGCAGGCAGCCATGTAGTGTGCCCAGAGACGCGTCTGGCGGTAAACATTAGACGCAAATTTTAAAATAGTGTGTATTTCCATATGTTGCGCCAGAATGACTCGCGTAAAATATGAAAGATTCGCTTTAAATTAATACATTGTCCTTAATTGTAGGCATCACTTTAAATCAATAATTTAAAATTAAATCGCTTTAAATCGACGTTATACTGTATACCAAAATCACTATCACTATCACCAAGCATTCCTGGGGTATCCACGTGAGCACTGTCGTCACTAAACACACGCTCAGGAATAATGGGCTCCTGAACCCACACCAGAAGGCCTGGCCTCACTCGAGTCTTGCTCTAATATCGGGCAGATATTGCACAGCTCTTCTCACACCCGTGGAACACGTATAACGTCAATGTTATGCCGAAAAGTTATCAAAAATAGCAGTAGAAAGTACACTGAACCTCCTTATGCTGTACAAGTAGGCAGTATCTAGGCATGCGGATTGGCCGAGGAGCTGTGACGTAGCGAGGGGAAATCCATTGTGATTGGCTGCCTCAGGGGGTATGGTCCGAGGGAGGCGTGCTGTCATTGGCTCGCGCTCCTCTCACACTGAACGGGATGTTGCCACCTTCATTGACTGAGTGCACAACCAGATACGTAGCTCCTGGCCTGAGGCGAAATCACAACCTGTAGAGGAAGGGTGAAAGTAGTGATATCCATCAAAAAACGCATTTTGCCCGGGGTGGTACTTCACCCCTCTCTAATGCTGAGTGCCTCATTTACAATATTTCACTTTAGAGATTTTGATGTTTTAAGACCACCTCCCTATTTACGATGAAAAAAATCGCATGAACGATGAGCATCATCCGGCCAAACTCGCTGATTCTCAGAATACTCTACAGGCATCCTTTATTTAACAATTGGGATGTGTTCCTGAAAACCCATTGTCAATGTGAAATGATAAATAAATGGGGTAAAACGAGAAATAATATCCTAATCAAGGGATAACAAGGAATAATATCTGTGGAGATGGCACATAATTAAGTAGCAGAGTCTCCTACTGAGCCTCCCAGGAGCACTCAGCGGGTGAGGCTGAGCTGAGAATTCTGTTATTGTTCAACGCATAATTTCGGGTTGATATTCATGTTTAATTTTTGTTTGTTTGTTTTTTCCTCTCTTACGTGTATACATAATCGTTCATACAGAATGTGCAAAAATAAAAAATAAATACAGTCAACCCTCGCTTTACGCGGTCCCACATTCCGCGTTTCCACGTTTACGCGGTACCCTGCCGAAACAGGAATGCTCACATTCCGCGGTGTGTGTACGCCTTTACGCGGAGAGCGGCTGGCGAGCCACGCCATTTTTGGATCCAAACCTCCCGCCCTCTCTCGCCATCCGCCATGTTGTGTAAGCGGCGCGAGCATGGTGCGCACAAGGTCGCCCAGTCATCAAAACATTACCGAGTTCTTCACCCGCCACCCACCACAGCCGGCCCAAGTCAGTGATAGTGATAATTATAGTGAGGATATGGACTTATATGGACTTTGAGGGGTTTGACAAAGAGGCCCTGCAAACCTCTGTGGTGGATAGTGATACAATTGATACAGGTGAGGGCCAGTAATCTGCCCTCTGCCTCGGAACCAACCGCCCATCCCCGTGTGCCCAGCCATCTTTTCTACTAATGTAAGTGTTAAAAAACCTAATATTATTGATATTTCTCTTCATTATTAATTGTGTGTGCATACCATCATAAAGTTAAGATAATATTTTTACGACAACATAGTTGTGTGTCGTCAAAAAGTGGAGTTTGGGAGTCGGCCCGGTCTCTATTTCAATTAATTCCATATGTTATGTTGTTCACTTTACGCGTTTCTCACTTTCCGCGGTACCCTGTGGGTTGAATTAACCGCGTAAAGTGAGGGTTGACTGTACTGTATTATCATAAGGTTAAAAATAAAAAGAGAATAAACATTTCTTACGTCCGCGGGAGTTAGTGTTGTGTTTAGGAGACGGAGCAGGAGAGGAGGGAGGTGTCAGGAATCTCAGGATCCCATTACCTGGCCAAGCTGTAAGATGCACTGTTTTTCTTTTTCAGCACATTATTTCAGGTAAATATATGTTTTTGTTGTTGTTGTTTTTTGTTTTTTACTGTTATATGTAAACAGCAATCGTTAATACAGAATGTACCAAAAAATATTAATAATTACCTTGTATTATTAGGTTAAAAAAAGAAAGGAATTAACATTTCTTACAGGCGCTAGAGTTAGCCCTTAGAGCGGGGGAGAGGGGAGTAGGAAGGGAAGGGAAGGGAGGAGAGGTGTGGGGGTCTTGGTGGTTCTCTGTCTGGTGTCCTGTGAAATAATTGCCAAATGGCAATGCAGCATTTTTTTTATAATTATTATTTAAAAATATTTTTAAAACATTTTATTACTAATAAAATACCAAGACCATATGGAGATTTGTTTGTACTGCACAATAGCATCTGACGGGTTGGGTCTGATGACTTCCAAAATTATACTTACAACTTGTGATGTCTCCGGAGGGTTGGTATGTGTGCCTTCACCCACCGCCACTCAGTATCCAACCAGGGGGTGGGTTGGCATATAGGAATAAAATAAATGGTTAAGTGATTGCTATCACATAGTATTAGGAGACGACATGCATATCTCAATACCTATCGTCTGTGGTCTCATGTTGTTTAACACAGAATATGCACAGCTGCTCTTTTTAGCTACTGTACATAAATATACAAGTGTTCATAAGTCAGACATTTGTTATTCGGGGACTTCCAAAGCAGTACAGTGTATAATATTAAAAAAGACTTCATAGGTTACCTGTGAAAGGGACATATAAAATGTATAGTATTAGATTTTATTCTAGTATTTAAATTATTTAGCCAACTAACATTGTACGTATAAGAGATAAGTGTTGATTTTTTCTTATTTACAGGCATATCCAGATTTTGCTGTAGCAGCAGAAACAAGTAAGAAGATCAAAGGAAAATTTGCCAGAATGTTAAAACAAGCAATTATAAATGGTGAGGTAGAGGGAGAGGAGCGATATGTGGTTGCCATTAGTCGAGCAGGACACCATCAGAATCATCAAAATGAAATGTCTGAAGAGAGAGTACTTCCAGTGCATCCTGACATAGTGGAATACATCACCAAACTAGTGACTCAAGACGATATCACATCCCCAAAAGCAATAAAATCTTTAGTGACTCAGTTTTCTCGTGAAAACTTCAGGATTGGTGAAACCTCGAATGGGGACAGGTGCTTCTTTCCTATTTTGAAAGATATAAGAACAATCCTAAGACGCATTATATGTAATATGCAAACAAGTAAGTTCTGTCAGGTCACACTGGAAGAAGATGCTAAAGTGTTGACCCATGAACGTGAACCTGAACAAAAAATTTTTGTTAGTAGTGAAACCAGAAGAATTATAGACGATAATGTTGATAATCGGGCAGATGAAAAGCACTTTTTTGGTATGTCAGATGGCTATCTTACTTTACACTTTATCCAGGAGACGTCAGATGAAGGGAATGTTGCAACACATATTATTTCTGCACAAGATATTAAGGCTGAATTGGAAAATGTCACAGAAATTCAGACTCTTCCTGACTTGTCCGAAGACATTGATTCTGTGAGTACTGACCGTTTCAAACTGTTAACAGCACTTGAACAAGCAGTACAACAGGTGACTGAGGTCAATAATCCACAAGCCTTAAAAGAGGCATTGAGATGTGTAGAACAAGCGTCAGTGGTCTTAGAGTCTTCATTGAACAAACAATAATTATACCTCTTTTTAACTATACAACTGTACTGGTGCTTCAGTACTCTGTTGTATTTCTTTTATATTACAAAACCAACGAAATGTAGATTTAATAATAACTACCTGTATATGAGTTAGAACTAATGTGTATAGAAAATACTTCTTTGATATCAAAATTACCACATAACTACCCTGTTATAACTGTTAACTTAAAATTAATTGAAAAAAAAAGATACAAATTTGTTTACATAATAATATGGAATGTCAAACAGTCAATAATAGGTTATCAATATGGTCAGTATCTCCCACACAGAACCTTTCATGTTGTTCTACTATGATGTACCCAAACTAAATTTTAGTAGCTGTGACTGAGTTGAAGCTTGATATGTGTGAAGCAAGCTAAGAAATTAAATGAGCTGTCTGTCTAGGTATCAATTGTGCTTTATTCACATCTATAGTGGGACATGTGATTGGCCAGAGTTGTCAAAAAATAGAGTACGGTACAGTAATTATGTGGTGTGTACTTATAACTTTAAAGAATATTTTGTAGGATCACTGTAGTGGAACAACGTGTGCCACCACTGCTTCTTCAAGATAAGTTCATTCATGAGAGTTAGGCATTGTTGCTGGCCTCACTCTTTGTGTTATGTATTCTGTTCTTCACCCTGGTTGTCTTAGAACTTGGAACTCAGATTTGCTCATTCCTTCCTTTCTTGTTTGGAAACACCAAATTTAGTGCTTACTCTGGTATCATGCTCATTTTCTATTACACTAAGAATGAGTAAGTGTATGGAAAAGTTCTTTTAACGTTTTGCCTGTTACACATGATAGAAAAGGTAAGTGTTTTCCTGCAGACCTAGATATTGTGTATCGAGCAATCATGTTATGTCTATATTTCAGTGTCGTGTATGCTAGCAAATATGTACAGTACGACTGTACATGATTTGTATATTTGCTAAAATTACATTTTAAGAGTATGGGATTTTCTTTAATAAAAAAGGGGAACACCCTGTAAACCTATAAAGGAGTGTAAGTATATCTATCATTCAGTATTTATGTACTTATAGTTTGAAGATTTTTAATTTATGTTAAATACTGTGTTTTGTCTTGTTCTTTCCTGCATTTGACTAATGGTGACAATCCCTATGTTGTCAAAGAAATTAACCATTTTTTAGTACTACAGGCATTCCCCAATTTATGAAAGGGTTCCTTTCTTGAAAAAACTTTCGTGAATCAATCTTTAGTAAATCAGACTACGATACAATTTTCCATAGATTCGCATTATAAAAACAGAGATACTGTACATTCTTTTGGCAAAAAATCCCAAAATGTCTTAAGATGCTACAAAACGTTAATGAAAAAAATTGGTGTACACAATGATTAAACCCAATAACAAATAAAATAACTGAATTACATGCAGTGATGAACACAAAGACTTCTGAGACACTGCACCACTCCTTGTGGTACAGTGCATGACTATGAGGCCCAGCCAAGACATATACAGTAGTTTTAATTTGAGTGGTTGTGCACCAACACTAAGTCTGTTGCATTTTTCATGCAGTACTACAGGCAATATGCATTTTGAGATGTTTTGCTTTCACTAGATTGATTTTTGATGAGGTTTTAGCTGATGATGAAATGATAAACTTAGCCATTTAACATGTTACACTTTCCACGAACATCAGATCAAATTCCAGGATACTAAACACATTAGTATTCCTGCAGTTGAAATGTCTTGTATCAGTTTTTTGCCACGGTTTCATGTAGTGACCAGCAATATTATGAGCCATGATAACTATAACATTAATGTATTTTATTTTTTAGCTTAGTTAACCACTATTAACCCCTTCTTTCTGAATGGGGTTCCCTGTTAGCTGAATAAAAAAGTCTGGCATCAGCCATATAAAATGTAAAAGTGGCATCCCCATGAAGGGGTTAATACAGTACAGTACAAAACTATACATCATTTTTAGTTTGTCAGCACCTTATTATCTACCGATGCTGTAAAGATTTATGAAAAAGAAAATCGTAACTTTGAATTTTTCATATATAAATCAGATTTTTTTTCTTTACTGTACCTCAGATTTTTGTAAACCAGATCTTCATAAATTGGTAACTGCTAGTACTAGATTTTAACATGTGTTTTTTTGTTTTTTTTAGAAATTTATGGTTATTATAATGTTTGTTGTTTTTTGAATGAGAAATGGTATATGCAATATGTAGATCTTGTTCTGTCGGAAGAACATCATGAATGTAGGATGAAAGACTTTAAAGCTTCCATGACAAGTGATGTAGCTCACTGATGTTCAACTATTGTTATCAGCACATTCACCACCACATCTGTTACAGCAGTAAAACAGAATGATTGACAGCACATGAAGGTAGAGTCTGTGTTTGCTCTTGGTTCTAACCATCCTGCAATAAAGAAGTAAAAGGCTTGCAGGAGTAAAAAAAATATATCCACCGCATGCTAGAGTATTTTATTACCACAGGACCGTAGAATGACAATCCAACGATCTTTGAAACTGAGGTGCTAGTAAGTGTATAGGAGAGAAATGTTGTTATTGTGTATTTCTATGCTTCAACTCGGTAGGTACTCTAGGAGGTCCATACACTAGACAACAGATATAAAAAAATGGAAAGAAGTTTTTCCTTTTGAAGTGACACTCAATGTATGTAGTTGTAAGATAAAATACAGTAATTGAATCTCTACATTTATTTCACTTAAATTAATTTCGATGTACAATTCAGAACGAATTTCCTTAGGAAAAACATTACTTTCTACTTGAGCAGATTAATGACACTTGAGAAATAAAAAGAAAAGAAAAACTACACTATTTTCATTTTATGTTTCACACCATTAATGCTTAGAAGATGAAAGGAGTTTTTAAATGTGTTTATCCATAAGCTATGTCATTTATAACAGAGAGAGAGGTGTGTTTTAGTCACCCTGGGCCAGCCACCTGAGTTAGTACTGTATATCTGAGATACATGCTGAAGAATTTTGCATGTCATTGAAGTTTTGTCTTGAAATATATGTGGAGGAAGTAACTTCATTTTCATCATAAGAAAGGTGAGATTTGTTTGCATAAAATAATAATATACTGTATGTCATATTTAACAGCACCACATGTGAATTTAAATATTTATAACTTAGGAAAATGAAGTGTATGGCTGAAAGAAATTCTACTGCCACCATGTATCAAGTTCATTGTACAGTATAAATATATCTCATCACATACTTTTATCCTCCAGTTAAGGACACTCAACTGAGTAGTGCCCCTTGAGATGCTTATACAGCTCAGCTCAGGTCGCCCCTTGCCTGTCTGTAGTATAAGCTAGGCAAGCTCAGGCGCTCCAATTTTTCAGGGGAAGCACTTTACTCTTGAAGATTGTTACGAGGGACTGACCGTCTAGATATCTGAACGACCATCTTATAAGACCTAATAATTTATTTGCCTGATTTACCTTCTTCTCGCAAATGCCCGAGAACTTCAGCTCATTGTCAACATACACACCTAGGTCCTTCTCACATTCAGTCTCAAATAGTGGTTTCTTCATCCCGTTGGGACATATGATACGCCTCCTTACCGTTGGTACACCCCAGGTGCATCCTCTTACACTTTGTGACATTGAATCTCAAAAGCCATTTCTTCGACCATTTTTGGAGCTGCAGCTCTTCACAGTCCACTTGGTTCTTGATTTCCTGAAATAACTTGGCGTCATCCGCAACTATTTGTATGGGGCAGTGTACAACGTCAGGCATGTAATTTTTGAAACAAACAAACAACAGCGGGCCCAATACACTGCCCTGTGGTACCCCGCTTGTGACAGGTACAGATGATGATTTTGTGCCATTAATCACCACACACTGCTTGCAGTCATGTAAAAAGTCTTCTATCCACACTTGGACATTTCCCCGAATTCCGTACCCTTCCAGTTTGATTTTCAGCCTTTCGTGGGGTACACTGTCGAAAGCCTTGGCAAAATCTAGGTAAATACTGTTGATATTACCACCTCGTTCCAGAATATGGACCCATGAATGGTTGAGTGTCATCAATAGTTTGGTTGTAATGAGAACTAGGGCTCTATCCAACAGTCCCAAGCATACTAAGCAAGAACCTCGAGAAACTATCATGACACACTTACACTAAAATTTTGATAAACTTATTGAGTCTGAAAAGTTATCCAACTGCAGCCCAATTTGTTATAGATATAATTATTGTACACAGATGGGTGACAGAACAGCATCACTCTTGTATTCCCAAGAATTTTTTTTATTTATTTAAATTTTAGGTAGTAGGTATTAGGCAGCTACCTAACAGGGAGGTACTGTGGGGTAGGGGTTATTTTGTTCACACTCAGGATGGGATGGAGAAAGGAAACTCACAATGTGCTCACTGTATACATATTGTATTGGATGTACAGTGCAGCTTGGTGCTGGGAAGTGGCAGCATGGTTACAAGCGTGATGTGGAGAGAGCTGGTTGGTGAGGGTGCCCAGAGGAGGACAGCTTGTGGATCGCCATGGTCGCCGGCGGGAGCGAGGGCCGCCAGGCAGGAGTGGAGGAGGTGTTGCTTGAAGACTGGCTGTAGGTAGAAAGAGATAGGTCACCACGAGGTCAGGTCTTATATAGCGGAGGAAGGCGTGGCTTAATAGTTGACCTCCATCATGTAAGGCGGCGCTGGTTGACCCAGACCACGAGGCATACACTGGGGAATTCGCGGGGTCAGCTACTCCGCGACAAACAGCGTTTGTAGGGGAGGAATCCACTACATTACTACCACCTGGGAAGATATATGGCATCACGAAAATTGTTACCAAGTCCCAGGTTCCTGATCTGATTTTCTGTCTCTATCACACACAATTGCAGAGTCTCAATTGTTTCTCTTATTTATGACAACACAACATACATATATTTTTTCTCACCTTTGACCCTTTTTTTTATTTCTTTATTATTATGATTATTATTATTATTATTATTATTATTATTATTATTATTATTATGATTATTATTATTATTATTAGTATTAGTGTTATTATTATTATTATAATTATTATTATTATTAGTATTATTGTTATTATTATTATTATTATTATTATTATTATTATTATTTATTATTAATTATTATTAATTATTATTATTAATTATTATTATTATTATTATTATTGTTATTATTATTATTATTATTATTATTATTATTATTATTATTAATTATTATTAATTATTATTATTAATTATTATTATTAATTATTAATTATTATTATTATTATTATTATTATTATTATTTTTATTATTATTATTAATTATTATTATTATTATTATTATTATTATTAATTATTATTATTAATTATTATTATTATTATTATTATTATTATTATTATTATTATTATTATTAATTATTATTATTATTATTATTATTATTATTATTATTATTATGATTAATATTATTATTAATATCATCATCATCATCATCATCATCATCATCATCATCATCATCATCATCATCATCATCATCATCATCATCATCATCATCATCATCATCATCATCCATCATCATCATCATCATCATCATCATCATCATCATCATCATCATCATCATCATCATCATCACATCATCATCATCATCATCATCATCATCATCATCATCATCATCATCATCATCATCATCATCATCATCATCATCATCATCATCATCATCATCATCATCATCATCATCATCATCATCATCATCATCATCATCATCATCATCATCATCATCATCATCATCATCATCATCATCATCATCATCATCGTATCATCATCATCATCATCATCATCATCATCATCATCATCATCATCAATAATCATCCCCTAGGCCCTGATGTGGGTTAGTGACCTGTGCCCGGGTGGGCTAATCCCCTTAAAAAAATTGCAATAGGTTCGTGTTTGGGTCTGTTGGGAGGGCTAATAGATTTGGTACATTATAATGATTTCAGAGCCTTAGCTATTTTGGTCGGAGTGTGATACAAATATATATATATATATATATATATATATATATATATATATATATATATATATATATATATATATATATATATATATATATATATATATATATATATATATATTGGAGTACCAAGAATAGAATTAGGTTATTGTCATGGGTTCGAGTCTGGCCAGGGACAGATGTTACCCAGTGTGACTTTCAATCACACAGGTTTCCTCCAGGTACCCGATTTCCTTTTGTACTAACACTGATAATGAAGTTAATAACAAAGTGACAAAGAACAGGGGACGTCTGGTAAGGTAATAGGTGTTGAAATGATAATTTTAAATTAATGACAATCTCGAGGTTGTGATCTTGTCATTAGTATTGGTATACATGCAACCGATATAAATATATATAGATTGTATATATTTATCCTATTTTAGATTTATAAGAAAAATATATTTAAATTAATATCATGATTTAAAGAAATTTTATTGTGATATTCAAACGCGAGCCAATAAATGAAAGTAGTTTGTTTTAAAGGGAAAATGGTCCAGGTGGTGTTGGCGTGTGACAGCTGGAGGGCAGACGGGGGGCAGTAGTGTACTTTGTGCCATACTTCACTTAAACGAAAGACAATGGACATGGGAGGTGGACGATTAATAAGGCTCATGATAGTGGTTCTGGTGGTGGTTCTTATATGGAAAGTATGGGACTACTCTGACCTCCCTACTGCTGAAGCTCCTCCAAACTTCAAGGTAGGAGAGGCACTTGTGGCCCAGACCAAGGTTGAGCTAAAGGAAAGTGAAGAAAAGGGAAAGCCTTCAATGTTAGTGGCTCCTGTACCTACACCACAAGAGGAATTGGTAAGTGTTAAGCAGGAAACTTTAGATCTATATCGATATATCCGTTAACATTGATAAATAGTTGATTCACCAAAGGTTCTATGAAAAAAGAAAGATTTGGTTTATGATGGATTTTGTTAATGGATCTGGTGTAGAAGCTATGAAAACATTACTGAATATGCCAAGGAAAGGGTAAGTGGGCCTTGGCTTTGGCAAATAATTTAAACCTTCTCAGAATGTCTGATTTTAGCTGGAATAAGCCTGTAGCCATTTATGAGCAGTATAGAGCCCAGAATGTGGTATTTCATAGGAAACTGAATAATAGTTTAGGAGAGGGATGTGGGTTAACTAGGCACCTAACCAAAAAAATTATAGCCGATGACATATTTTGTGCCGTACCTCAAGAATAATCCAAATTGGGTAGAGGAATCACACTTCATATTCATGTTTATCCTCAGTTTTCCCTGAAGATAAAAAAAAGCTGCCAACTGCCCTCTTCACAATGATGCTATGTTTATTCATCAATGTTGAAAAGTGCTTCACAGCCACCGACCTTCCTTCCTACCCATGTGAACCTAACCTATCCTAAAATGATAATAGGTTAGCGAGGTTAGGTAGGTTTTGTTGGTTCATCTTATCTATGTTGGGGGCGTTGGTAGTATTGTGGTAACGCGTGTAATTTTTGCCAATATGTCGGGTTCAAGCCTCGGCCTAGACACATGTGAGAAGGGTGTTATCCAATGCAACCCTAACAAACATCACAGGTTTCCTGGTCACCAGTTTCCTCCTGTACTAACACTGGATAGATCAACCGCCTGAACAGCCAGTAAGCTGATAAACGGTGAAAAAATAAAATGAAAAATTTCCTCAAGTTGTTACTGTTGTTTCTT